AGCTCATGTGAAAATTAATGCTGAAACAGCAAAATAAACAACTTACAGCCTGTAAATATACTTCTGGATGAAGGCCTCCTTAGACCACGTTTGCAACTAAGTTGTTTGACCATTATATATCATGTTCAATGCAGGTTGGTGAAGGGTGGGGTGATGGGTGGGTAGCAGCAGGCATGGTTCACATGTCACTCACCAATGTTGTTAGCCATGTCTGGGTTCATGGCGCGGTGTACTCACCACTGCGCCAACACTCTTCGTCTAGTATTTTAAGAGTTCCAAATATAACTCAGAGGGTCCCATTCTCCCAAATATACTGAGCTGTGTCACATTATTACGATGACATTATATTCATATATATTGAACAAACCATGCCAGAGAAAATATATATAATCTTCACGCACAGCCCTTTGTCAATCCACTGCTAGATGAGGGTGATCCCCCTGCCATGCAGGTCACGGGGGTCATTTGACCACCACACTAATAAGTATACAAGGTACGCACAGTTAAAAACAAAGGACATTGTTAAATTGTCCATTAAAGAACAGTGCCTACCTGATGGTCACGGAGGAACACTGGGCCAAGCGGGAACCTGCACTCTTCAGCCCCGTGTAGATCTGGCCCATTTCCATAGCTCCATCCAGCCCAACCACCTCCAGCAGATGGTCACTGAGGTCTGAAAGGCAGATCACACAGTGTTGTGGGTCAAGCAGGCTTTACAAGAAGATGTTCAGGAAAACCACAATTCTCTCCAGTCAATGAGAGATGATAAGAGATCCCCATCTCACTGGATAAACGTATTCATTAAGCCTGGACAGAAGTCATATTCAAGGAATTATGGGAGCCAACAGCATCATATATGCCCTCGCTAGATGTGCATATGCAATAACAATAATAATGATGATATTCCTATACCCACAAATATCTGAATTAAATCAGGACTTTCGGGATGGTCCTGCTTTGGAGGTTTGCCCAATTCTCTTCTTTTTGTTGCACATGGAACAAAACAAATGCGTATGGTGAGCAGAGCTAGTCTCTAAATAAAGTAAACATTTCTCGAATCGTTGACTGAAAGTGTGAAACGAATAGGTGATATACCGGTGGACACAAGAGCCAATGCATATAACACGCGGAATGGCAAGTATCATAGCACGAGTACTTTTAGGGAAGACACGCTTCATTGCCTATACCAATTGCAATAAAATTCCAGTAAAAATTATTTATTTTGCATTCTTTGCACACGTTCTTCAGGAGAATGACACTTGGAATGTGGTAAGTCATTACGATGTGTGGAACAATTCAACCATCAGGGTCATGATATGAATCTATAACTTTTTTCAACATCGTGGTGAATGGTAGCACCTCCAGTGGCTGCGGCAAATTTTGATTGAAAAATATCGGGAGTATTTTGTGCGCATGTATCGTGAGCTTAATCATCGATATTAATCTATTAACTGATGCAACGTTCCACCCCTACACATTGCCGCTTCTCCAAATAGAACACGTTGGTCATGTAGAAAATAGCCAAATATGAAATAAAATGTTGGATTTGTTTTGTTCATGGAATTGTAATTTGACGTTGTTTTGATTGTAGTTTTTTTTATATATACGTTTTTAAATAAGTTTCTGGCATGCATTTTGAACACAATGCCTCAGATTCTAGTATAGCTGTCTTTTGGACTTGTGGGCAGAGACAATTGAAAACACATGGGTGCAGAAGGCATCACTGGAATTATTATACAGAAACCAGGCTTTAGAAGCTCTGCTAGATCTCAGTTCTAACAAACTGCCGGAACAATCGGCAATCACAAAACTATGCAGCCTCTTCATAATCACTGTAACTGCAGCGAACATTATTAAACGAGTCTCAAAATTGTGTCAAGTGACGAACTGCTTTACTCATCATTTATGGGGGTAAGACACTTATGAAAGTACTGTAGAGAAAATACCGAGCAAACCAATTCATGCGTGTCGTCTTTTCGCTTCAATAAATTGTCTGTGGTTGTATAAGGGGTAAAATAAAAAAAAACCCATTCACATGGAAGACACCTGCATTTGCAATATAAAATAATGAGCTCAAACTGTTTATCAGCTTTCATTCACATGCACACCCACAATATAACCATATCTGTGCTTAGAACATTCTTAAAATAAGGCCAGACGGTTCTTCTTTCCAGACCGTGTGTCTCCGACTCGACTGCGTCAATCTGTGGGGGGGTGGGCGGTGGGGGCTTCAAAGCAATTGCGTGACATTCATTAATAATTTATAAACACCCACCAGGCCCACCAATTATAATAGACATTGACAGACCCATTCCATCTTTCATCGGGACGCAAGAGTCCAGGTGGATTCAGGGATGTTTATTTAAAAAAAACATTGAATCTCCCCGACAGTGGCATTATTGATCACACGGTTCAATATTGCCACTTCAGGACAATTAATTGCCAAAGGGCCTCGGATACAAAGAGGTAGAATATTTTAGTTTATGCAGCACAGCTTCGACAAACATTTAAGCATGCATACATCGCTAATTAAAATACACCATTGTAAAACCCACAGATGTAACAAGTGGATGTTTTAGTCGAAATGTAGTGTGCGTTACAAAGTAGTTGACCGTGCTTTTACTGTCAAAAGTCCACATTAATAAACATAGATTCCATTGCTTCTTACACCGTTTGAGTGTGTTACTTGTAAGATGTGTAAAAACAGCATGGTAATTCACGATATGTAAGATGGTTGGAATTACTAGATCCAATTATTTAATTGGTACCATAGGTGGCTGTTTGGCTTTAATAAGGGAGTGTTAACATAAGAAGCGATCTGATGGCACATTGTTTTCAAAAACACGTTTTCAAAAACAAGTTTGATGGCTATCCAAATGAGTCACGTGAATGACATCACTTCATGCGAGCCACACATCCTTCCATAAATGGACTGAAATAAATACGTTTTTGTTGATAAATATATTATTCACACGCTTAAAAGAAATGCAATTCCTGAACGCCAATGTTTAACTCAATATTTTCATTTAATTGCGGTTTCCATTTTCGTAATTTAACATTTAAAGTTCACGATTTTGCAACTGTTAAATTTCTCTGAAAGCAAATTACGCTTTTTTTATTTTGAGTGGGCAGCACTGATGCGATTCATATGGTAAAAGTAGAAAACCCGAGCTCCGTGAAACGTCAGTGATATTGCTCCAATTTGTGTGGCCACACACGCACGTACAGTGCGCAAACACTCACTTCATTGACCTGCTACTGTTATCACGCGTATCGCGTGACCTCATCACACAGCACTCATTGACAGCTCCTGAAAGAGTTCCACATATCAACACCCTGAGTATACACCATAATGTCAGCAATTACAAGACTTATTTGGGAGGCCAGTTCCATTGTGGGGCAATGTTTTTCAAGTACATATCTGACCAATGTCTATCTCACGCGTGCAGCAATGTTATGCTTTGATGGTAATGTTTAGCATACAGGAATACATGCTCGTGGGGTGGGGAGGAATAACCTTGTTTAGATCCAACTATCACCTGCCTATTCTTAGGTTTTTTCGGTAAAGTCACGTAGGTAAAAACATTAAAAAGTAAAATAAAATAAAAATCACGACGTTTCGGAGGCAACACAAGCTTCCGTCTTCAGGTGGTACCGTCACAGCCACGACAGCTGTATCAAGTAAATGAGAGATTGCTTGATACAGCTGTATCAAGTAAATGAGAGATTGCTTGATACAGCTGTATCAAGTAAATGAGAGATTACTTGATACAGCTGTATCAAGTAAATGAGAGATTACTCGATACAGCTGTCGTGGTTGTGACGGTACCACCTGAAGACGGAAGCTTGTGTTGCCTCCGAAACGTCGTGATTTTTATTTTATTTTACTTTTTAATGTTTTTACCTACGTGACTTTACCGAAAAAAACCTAAGAATATGAATCATTGCAGTCACGAAAGCTTCAAATCTAGAACTATCACCTGCCTTTAAACGAATCACACGGAATGCACCCAATCTTGTCGAATCTCAGACACTACGCAGGGTTTGAGCCTAGATAATGCTTGGACAGGAAACCACAATGCGTCACAGGTGTTATAGGTTGTGGGGCTACCTGGTGGACAGTGCAGAGAAATACATTGTTGTACTGTACTTTAATGCTCCTGCACGAATGCTTCCCAAACATTCACTGACCTGTCTGACTAGCATGGTGAAGTATCGTCAAACAACATCCAAGACGTGCATGTGATTTGGGAGACCCACATCCAGCAGTTGATTGGCAAAGGAATGTCCATGTATTACCAGTGGGAGATCTTATAAGATATATGTGGTACATTATTTAAGCAATGGTCTATACAAAATTCAGTTGGGCCAGTTCAGAATGCAGTTCCACGAATTAGAGCCACAACCATTTCATTTTTATAAACATGTTCGTAGAACTATAATACATATAGGGCACAACAATATACGACTACGATGGATAGGCATATTTTGTACTAGTGACAGAGCCTGATGCCTATACTGTAATCCCTACTACAAGCCAGCATAGCGGCGTTTCAGAAAATGTTGAGTGAGAACGTAAGCCCCGTGGTCTATAAATGCAAAAATGGTTATACCGTACATATAATTAAATTGTCTTGGATAATATATCAGAAATTCCAAGTGCTTTATAGCATTTGTGAAGCAGTGCTCATTCTTTGTTTACTGCAATGTCTACTACCGTGCACCATAACTCGTTTAAGTATGCTACACATATGCAAGTAAAACGTGTACACGCTACACAATAGTTCCATCATGATGCAATGAAAGACAGGGCTTGCCTACATATGATTTAAATACAGTACAGCGTTGAAGAAAAAACATAAAGAGAAATGTAAAAAATTATACTTTTAATAATGTGAAAAACTGCAAACCATCCGATAACGATTAAAAATAATTATATCGCTGAATGTGAACTTACAATACGCATGCAAAATACCCATTAACCTCTTGAGTGGTTTCATTTTGGTATCAAATGTGATATACTGTATCACATTTCATACCATGTAAAAGTTCATACCATAAACATTTAAAAGCAAGCTGAAGAAATGAGTAGTCTGCATCTATTGCATGCAGATTTATTTTGAAGAAAAACTGGCTTAAATGTTATTTTGGCAATACTGAACCAGAATAGTTGTCTCCATCTTGAAAATACATAACTCAGAGCTGATTTCCTGCAACAACAAAAAACTGGCAGAGTTCTTGGCAAATGTACTTGGAGTACATTTACTTGGAGTACATTTAGGATAAAAAAAACAGATTTTATGTTTTAAGCATTTGTTCAAATGCACATGTTGCACTCTGTTTTAATTTACAAGTTATCAATAAGCAAATCTTAGAAACAATATAATGTTTTTTAAAATGAAAATTAGGTGAACGGTATTTTGAAATTACTGCAGTACAGTAATATTTTGTGCATGTTATTCATAAAAAATGCAACACAAGTGAGCATTTGCCCAAATTTTCGTCATTTGTAAAAGCATGACATTATCTTCTTGGTTCTTTCAGTAAAGTCACGTAGACGGGGAAAAAAAAAACATAATAAATAAATATTATTATGATTTATTTTTATTATTTTATTATTTCCCTTCTACGTGACTTTACCGAAAGAACCAAGAAGATGAATCCCTGCAGTCA